GAAGGATTAATTTCCTCTGTTGGAAAGGGATTTTCCTATTGAAATTAAATTTCTTATGAACGAGGCAAAGATGAGGGTTCGAATTGAGGATTTGATCGAAAAACCTCATTTAAGGACTGTGTTAGTTATGAGCCGGTAGTTCCACTTTCTTATTTCTCATTATTAATTCAGTGTCAGACCATCCCCTTTTAAGAGAAAAAAAATATGACAATTTGATGCAGACACGAAAGAAATCTAAACTTGGTCATGCTTCAAGTTCAGAATTATAAATAAATAAGTATCAAGAGCAAATTTTTCAGATTTTTGACATATTATGGATTAAATTACTAAAATAATAATTTTTCCTATGTAAGGTCTCGATTGAGATAAAAACGTCAGTGTCACGAGCGGGATTCGAACCCACGACATAACTCAAGTGGTAGAATACCGGTGTATTTAGCCGAAAGTCGTTTGTTCGAATCCCGCTCGTGACTCTGATTTTTTATCTCACCCAATACCATAGAAAAAAAAATAATTGAAAGAAGTAACTTGGTCAATTGACCACTAAAACGTAAAATAAAACAATAACCTTTCGATCGTTTGGTATAAAAATTCCAATGCAAACATATTCATTAAAAGTATGGACTGCCCTAGGCTTTGAATTGAAAAATCTAACTAATTTACTTGTTCTTTGTATAATTACTTATATTAAAAAATTTAGTTTTTGAATATTTATCAAAACATAATGATCTAAGTGTGGTATTTAGTGACCGTTTCTTTATGATTGTTTGGAGATGGTGAGATACGGTGTGGTATGACGTAGGTTTTAGAAAAATATTTTCTTTATCGTGTCAACGTTTCGATCTTTATTAAGATCATCTTCAGTGCCTCGGATTTACAAACGTTGTTCAAATTTTACAAATGCATGTTGCATTGTATAAATCCATTTTGTTATTAATCTAAAATTTTCTAGCATTGTATAAATTCATTCTTTTTTTAATCTCAAATTTTCTAGCATTGTATAAATTCATTCTTTTTTAATCTAAAATTTTCTAGCATCGTATAAATTCATTTTTTATCGCAAATTTTCTAGCATTGTATAAATTCATTTTCTTTAAACTAAAATTTTCTAGCATTGTATAAATTTATTTTTTAATCGAAAATTTTCTAGCATTGTATAAATTCTTTTATTTTTTTCACATCCTACATGTATTTGTAAAATTTAAACAATGTTTATAAATCCCAGGCCCTGAAGATGATCTCAATGAAGATCGAAACGTTGGCACGTTAAAGAAAATGTTTTTCTAAAACCTACGTCTCACCAGACCGCATCTCACGATCTCCGAAAAATAACTTTAAAAAATTTAATCAGAAATCGTGAGATGCGGTTTGGTGTGATGTGTGATGGCACAATTACACATACGACAAACACTTTGAGTGAATAGAAATACTTTGAATAAAAAAAAATATATTTTGCATTGTATAAATTCAATTTTCCACATCCTACATGTATTTGTTAAATGTAAACAATGTTTGTAAATCCCAGGCCCTGAAGATGATCTCAATAAAGATCGAAACGTTGACACGACAAAGAAAATGTTTTTCTAAAACCTACATCACACCAGACCGCATCTCACGATTTCTGAATAATTATCGATTGACGGTCACTAATCACCACACACTAAAAAAATATTTCGACCACTTATTCTTAGGAAAAACTATGGGGTTTAGCATTGAAATTTTTATTCATAACCATTCGTTTTGAAGAAAAGTCTGTGTTTCTTTGAAATAGGGACACCCTGTATATCTACCTTAAAAAGATCTTTGTACTTAAAATAAATACGTGTAATCACTTTTCCAAACAGAGCCTCTTTTGCAAGACTTGGTAACTAGCACTATACTCTTGCTTAAAAAGACTGATGTTCTATTAAAATCATAAAATACATTATTTTTATACGTAATCAATAAATTTTGTTAAAAATTTATTTATTTTTAAATATTGAAATAATGGAATATCCTTAGGGAAACAACTACGTCGGATTTTGACAAGTTTACAATTGCCGTAGTGAGGAATGAAAATCCTTTAATTAATTATTTCAATTGAAACGACTAAAGCCGTTATTCGGATGCGGAGACCGAGTCGCAGATGTGCCCTGGTTAAGTAGGTTTAATCCTTGCTTCTAGTATTACCAATGACAAATGTGCGGAACACTAACAGGCCACAATTAGGAGAGAACTAACATGTGGTGCTAATGCTACTTAGGGACATCTCCCTGGGGTCGGATACTGTGAAGATGTTTCAATTGGGTATCCGGTATCAAAGGACTGTCGCATTGGGTATCCAACGTACGAAATCCTGAGCCAATAGCTAGACAATACTGTAGTACATTTGAAACGAAGCTAATCGATAAAATCGCTACAGATGCGAACTCCACCAAATATGTTACAACACTCAACATAAATCTAGGTACTGGTGTGTTTTTATGCTCGTTGCACTGTAAACATAGGCCAAACTTAAATACTTAAATAATTTCTATTTCTTATCCAGACAATTCCGAGTTTTCTTGGGATCATCCCTTTTTCACCCGAGAGACAATGTTGTTGGCGTCCCTCAAGGTTCTCTCCTTGGACCCTTCTTGTTCCTCGCATACGTCAACAAAATACCACGTCCTAAGAACAAAAAAATTGTTATTTACTCTGAGAATATCGCTTTCTTCTCCTTTCTTGGAAGATAGATGCAACATGCAACTGATTAGAAAGATCCAAATTGAAGCTGTAAGTGTATTGTTGTCTGAGTCGGTCAAAAATCTTTGGGTGATATTTGTCCTTAAACTCTGTTTTTCTGTGTATTGGAATATACATTGTTGGGAAGTCCATTTGATAGAAAACTATAATTAACCTTGAACAGGATTCAAATAATGAGGTCGAAAACGTTCTGTTAATAAATAAAAATCTATTCTGTTCAACAACTTACAATACACATAAAAATACAATATAAAAAGAATAACAATTTGATTATTATTTACTTTTATTGGCATGTCCAGAAAAAAATGCAAGTTTATGGTAATAATATAAAAACAATTAAATAAACGATTTTAAGGATTTTTTATTAATTAAAATACCATCATTTTCAATACACTTCTTGACGAGATGTCAACTTTTTTTATACCATCTGAATAGAATTTTGAGACTTTATTATTAACAAATTCTGTAAACCCATTTTCAATACACTTTCGCCCAATAAATTGTTTATGTTGTAAAACGTCTAAAATTTTCTAGCATTGTATAAATTCCTCTTTTAAATCTAAAATTTTCTAGCATCATATAAATTCATTTTTTTAATCTAAAATTTTCTAGCATCGTATAAATTCATTTTTTAATCTAAAATTTTCTAGCATTGTATATTCATTTTTTAAATCTAAAATTTTCTAGCATTGTATATTCATTTTTTAAATCTAAAATTTTCTAGCATCGTATAAATTCATTTTTTAATCTAAAATTTTCTAGCATTGTATATTCATTTTTTAAATCTAAAATTTTCTAGCATCATATAAATTCATTTTTTTAATCTAAAATTTTCTAGCATTGTATAAATTCATTTTTTAAATCTAAAATGTTCTAGCATTGTATAAATTAATTTTTTTAATCTAAAATTTTCTAGCATCGTATAAATTCATTTGTTTAATCTAAAATTTTCTAGCATTGTATAAATTTCTTTTTTAAATCTAAAATTTTCTAGCATTGTATAAATTCATTTTTTAAATCTAAAATTTTCTAGCATTGTATAAATTCATGTTTTAAATCTACATTTTTTCTAGCATTGTATAAATTCATTTTTTAAATCTATCATTTTCTAGCATTGTATAAATTCATTTTTTTTAATCTAAAATTTTCTAACATTGTATAAATTCTTTTTTTCCCATCCTACATGTATTTGTAAAATTAAAACAATGTTTATAAATCCCAGGCCCTGAAGATGATCTCAATAAAGATCGAAACGTTGGCATGATAAAGAAAATGGTTTTCTAAACCCTACATCACACCAGACCGCACCTCACGATCTCCAAATAAACTTATAAAATAAGGTAACTTTGGTGAAATCCCCGAAAAATTTGATGGAAAAGTCAATGCATTCTTTGAGCTACTACTGTGTATTCGCAAGTGCGAATTTTTCTAGACTACTACACTTTGCGAAATGAAGATATGATTTGAATTTTAATGACGCTAAAGTTGATAAATTACGATTTTATGAAAAAAAGTGATTTTTAGGATAAAATGACAAAAATAATTATATCTCAGGAAAGAGTCAAGATAAAAACGCTCCAAATACACTGAACTACGTTTTATTCAGTTATTCCACCATGGCAGTATTGACATTTAACCCTGTAACACCGTGTATAGTGGAAGATAAAAATAAATAATTAAAAAAAAAAAAAATTTTTTTTTTCCATAANATCTTTTCAACGCGTTTTATTTTGAAATACAAAAGGGGGAAAAATCACTAAAAAACACTTATCCACGAATTGCCTTTCAGGAAAAATTCCACCCAGAAAATATGCATAGCTGATATAGGACAAAAGGGCTCTTCGACCGGCGTTATTTTATAAAACACAATACCGTTTTTCAAGTAGCCCCCAGCCTTTTCCCGTCCAGGCAAATATGAAGGGCGCTTACAAAGGGCAATATTTGTCATGAGCAACATCAACGTAATCTTTTGTTTCGTGAGAGCCAATAACTTTGTGTTTGCACCTGGAAATAGATGAGGAGGAAGAAGGACGACGAAGATGCTGGCAACATAGCAACTCGAGCGGGTTTTTATAATGCGGGTTTTCATTGTCGTCTTCCCCCTTTTCAGAAGGATTGTTATTTGTCGGCCAACTTCAAGTATTTCAATTGAGTCACAAGATTGTGTTTGTAGAACTTTAATTACTTTTATTGAATGTACATTTGTAAAGGGTTGGTAACTGGACCCACTTCTAAAGTGAATTTCTAATACAAAATTCATAAACAATTGTTTATATTGTAGGAGAATAAATTTGAAAGTTGCGCCAAGGTGACGTCAGACAGTGACGTACTTAAATCTGTTGGTCACTTCTAAGAAGGTTATTGNTACTCTTTCAGCATCCAAGCAGGTCGCACTTATCGAAGAGACAACCAGACCACCTTATTTCACTTCAGTGAGGATCGGCGGTTCCCAGAAGGACACAGAAGCTTTCATCGATTCCGGCTCAGGTATATCTTTGATCAATAGGGACCTTGTGAATGTTGACAAAATTTTGTCTGCTGGTATAAATCATTTCGAGGGAATAAATAAATCCAAATTGAACGTTTTGGGAATTTTTCCGACAAAAATCATGATTAAAGAATGTGAATATATAGAGATCCCGATAAACTTTTATGTGGTAAATTCTGATTCAATACCGTACAAATGCCTTTTAGGCAGAGATTTTATTTCTAACCCCCTGATCTCTATCAGCTTCACTGACGGAGTGAAAATAAAGAAAAATAATTCTGATGAAGAAAAGGACCATTTTGTTAAACAATTAATGTTAATTGACTGTAAAGAAACGAAAACAATTCCAAAACTTGCTATTAATAAAAATTTAAAAACAGAACATAAATATGTAATTGAGAATTTGGTAAAAGATTATGAAAGTAAAGAGAAACCGAAAGAACCGGAACTGAATATAGAAGCAGAAGTTAAATTAGTACATGATCATAAAGCATTTAATTTTGGACCAAGACGATTAGCCCTTACGGAGAAAATTAAAGTAAATACAATAATTGAGGACTTATTGGCTAATGGGGTTATAAAGGAAAGTAACTCCCCTTACGCGTCACCTATTGTGTTGGTAAAGAAAAAGTCAGGAGATATAAGATTATGTGTAGACTTTAGAACTCTAAATAAAATTACCGTTAAAGATAGATTTCCACTGCCTCTGATTGATGACCAATTCGACAAGCTTAGGGGAAAGACTTACTTTACAAAGCTCGATCTAAAAAATGCTCCATATTGATTACGCACCCAGAAGCTCGGATAACCCCCAGTCTGCGCTGCGATGGAGGGTAGAACACATATAAAAGTTAAATTACAAAAGTAACTATTAACAGCTTATCGCTTAACTATAATTATCTCTAAACACTAAAAGTGCTATAATACTATATAACGTAGATAGATAATCTACAAATGTCGCTTACCGACGCTGGATTGACCAGGCTCATAGCTAGCATCGGTTGAAATTATCCGTCCAGTAGAAGCTGAAAAAATTGACAGCCCATTTCTCTGCAGTAATTGAGTTCGAGAAGCAGCAATAAGCGTTTTCTATGAATTAATAATAAACGTCCAAACTGGGTTAATGGAATTTATAAAATCTGTACTCCCTTTCTTCCCTAACAGCAGGGGTACTATCGCTTCAATATATATTCATGTCGAAATCATCATCGCCATAGGCACTTAACCATTGCTGTTTGCAAGAATCCTGCCTCAATTCACCGGAAAATCTTAAGATGGTATCACTGGGTTTACCAGAATACTCAACTCTTCTAGAAAAGTCAAAAACTCCATCAGTTGATAATGGTCCTAATATATTATTGTGGGTTATTTGGAGCCCAGCTATGCCATTGTCATTATGTGCATAGCTTCCCAGAGAAGCTCTGTTAACACGATTAAAATAAAATCTACCGTTACCAACACTGGGATGTATGGTAACATCACCTTCATAAGCGCCTCTTACTACAAGTAGTAAATCTTTTCCATCCAACAAAAGTGTAGCATCAGGCCCTGTACCAACAGGGGCATATGCACTAAAAGGTATTTTAGTACTACTCACACATGATGGAGTAGTTCCAGTGCCAATAGCCATTGTAAAAAATTTAGCAATGGGAGTATACAATATATTGTCGGTGTATCTACCGATGTCTGGTATATAATTGGCACCAATACCATTGATTAGTGCCCTATAACAATTAATAAAATTCAAATCTTGTGAATTTGCTAAAGAATAAATTGAGTGTCTGGTCAAATACCCAATTTCAGATTGAATATTATTGCCTAATGATTGTAGGCAATTATGTATAGAGGAGATATCACCACCAGTTGCTTTGAGTGGAGTTAAAAAGTTATTAGTGACATTGGAATTGATGCCAGAGGTGGCACCCAAATAAGGGCACTCTGTCACATTTTCTAAAAATTGGAGAGCTTCAAAAGCTACAACATTCACTGTAAACGCATGTGTTCTTCCAGCCATCGCTAATCAAAATTTTATTTGTTGTTCCAGAAAATATGGTAAACCAGATTATGAGATTATACCATGACGATATAGGTCATGTAGGAATAGACAAGGTGATAGAATTGATCACTAGATTTTACTGGTTCCCAAAATTAAGAGAGAAAGTAAAAACATATATTCAAAATTGTTTAAAATGCTTAGTTTACTCGCCTTATTCAGGTAAAAGAGAAGGGGAATTACACAATATCCCTAAAGGAGAAGAGCCATTCGCGCATATGCACATAGATCATTTAGGGCCATTTGAAGTAACAAAAAAGAAGAATAAATTTATTTTTGAAGTTATAGATGGCTTTACAAAGTTCATCAAATTATATCCTTGCAAAACTACAAAGACTGACGAAGTTGTGAAGCATTTGCTCAACTATTTCCATATGTTTAGTCAACCGGTAAAAATAATATCGGACAGAGCTACAGCATTTACATCAGAAAGGTTCAAAAAGTTCTTAGAAACTCAAGGTATCCAACATACCCTGATAGCCACGGCAACACCTAGGGCGAATGGGCAGGTAGAACGGAGTAACCGCGATATCACTCCTATGTTGTCTAAAATTTCCCCTGCAACCAACCAATGGGATATGGTTCTTCACAAAGTAGAATTTGCTCTGCATAACACCTTTAATAGAACAATCAAACACACCCCAAGCAAAGTTTTATTTGGAATCAATCAGCGAGGCAAAGTAAGTGATGTATTAGCAGCTTATCTAGCGGAAGTGAACAAAGAAGAAAGAAACTTAGAGGTTATTAGGGAGAACGCTTCAAAAAATGTCGAAAAGGTTCAAGAAGAAAATAAGTCTTATTTTGATAGAAAACACAAAAAACCTAAATCATACAAAGAGGGAGATTTCGTAATGATTATAAATACCGATGTAACCCCAGGAGTTAATAAGAAACTGATTCCGAAATATAGAGGTCCTTATGTAATAAAGAATGTCTTGCCAAATGATAGGTACGTAGTATAGGATATAGAAGGTTTCAAAGTAACCCAAATCCCTTTTCATGGAATTTACGAATCGTCAAGGTTAAGGCCTTGGCAGAATGAATGTAACTCTGATTTGAATCTCTAATTAAATACAATGACGTTTTATTCTTGTTTATATAATTGTATAATGTTTTCATTTAGTTTAATTATTTTCAAACTATTTTATTTGTATAAAAAAAAAATAAATAAAAAAAAAAAAAAACTACTTTTTAGATGTATTTAAACGTAACTTACTGATGATTATATTGTTCTTTTGTCATTACTGATTCATCATGTTATGTTTACTGATTTTGTTTTGATGTATGTAAGTAATTCTATCTGATTGTGACTTAAGAAGTGACTACAGGCAAAATTTGGGATGATATTGTAATGACGCTCCTTATGACTAGTTTCACTAAGGTGAGGTCGAGGGCGACCTCGAGGGTCAGAATTGGCCGAATTGTAGGAGAATAAATTTGAAAGTTGCGCCAAGGTGACGTCAGACAGTGACGTACTTAAATCTGTTGGTCACTTCTAAGAAGGTTATTGGTTACAAGTGCTTATGTATATAGAGAATAAAGAGCGTGTGTTTGAAAACGAAAAGTCTACGTTTTCTTTATCCGATTCAATCCTGAAAAGGCCCTACAATATGAATAATCATTTTTCATTATAAAAAATATGTGAAGGGTCAAGTAGGTAGAAAAATAAGCCAGTCGCGGACTAAGAGAACAATAAGAGAAAATGGGAAAATACAATTGGGCCGAGGATGTTACCAATTGGAAACTTGTGCAGGCAAAGAGGGAAGAAAAGAATTCTACCTGTTAAAAGTCGTATAAAAGACAACATGGCGATGGAAAACTATGGAAAGGGAAGAAAAGAAAACATTGGGAGATGCCTTTGTCCAATCACTGCCCCGGACTGAAAAGTCGACTTCATGTTCATGTAATATCGGTAACAATTTTGAAAATTTTAAATTATGGAATAAACTATCTATTTAAATCTATTAGATTTCAAGGTCCGATTGACCAAATAACTTCTTTCAATTAATTAACATTTATGTAAGGTATTGGTTGAGATAAAAATGGCAGTGTCATGAGCGGGATTCGAACCCATGACCTAGGCTAAATACGCCGCTGCTCTACCACTCGGACACTTCCCTTGAAAAATGGCAAAAAGGAGGGAAAATTCGAAAGGTGGGTTGAGATGGGATGTTAGTGTCCGAGTGGATCGAAGTAACGATAGCTCAAGTGTTGGAGCAGCGGCGTATTTAGCCGAAGGTCGTGGGTTCGAATCCCGCTTGTTACACTGACTTTTTTTAATCTCAACCAATACCTTACATATCTCCTTAAATTTAATCTGACCGGTTTTAAACCAAAAGTTTTTGAATTAGAATTGTTTTGGTGTTGTTAGGCCGTAGAGCTGCTTACTCCTATTTGCCTCGTTGTAGGTTCTGGGTTCGAATCCCGGCTAGCTCATGGCTTTTTAATTGATATTTATATTTAAAAAAATAATGTTTTTTATTCTGACATGTCGTTTCCGACACCTCAAGAGTACTTTGTATTCTGACGTGTCGTTCCCGACACCTCAAGAGTACTTTATTTTTTTAATTTCTTACTCCGGAATTTGGCAGAATTGAACCATATGGTTTAACGATTATCAAATCTAGTATTGAAAAAACACATTTTTTGTGTCATTTTTTAACAAGTTTTAAATAGTTTAATCAATTAGTTGTCGTTTATCTTCTGTTCCGTTTTCAAGGGAAGTCTGTTGAATATGGTCATCAAACACATAAAATTGACGCAAAAAGGTTAAAGCTTAAAGGAATAATCGGTCTTAACTTGTAGTTATCAGGATATTTTTTGTATCCACATATTGGAAGAAAAATGTCCAATTTTTTTAATAATTCGTACTACAGGGTTTCCAGAAAGATTTTTGCCCTTCTGATAAGTAGAACTGTCGTGAAAAATTAATTTGATATTCAACAACTATATTTATTATAAAAAATTATACAAATTTTGCTTTACAGACACCATAATCTTGGAACGACATTGAAAAACAACATCCTAACAGAACAGTTTTACTAAAAAAAAAATTATATTCTTGAAGAAAAATTAACGTATTTTTAAACCCATTATATTTAGTGGTCTGAATGACCAATTTACTTCTTTTAATTAATTAATCTTTTTATGTAAGGTCTTCGCTGAAATGAAAAAGTTAGTGTCATGAGCGGATTCGAACCCACGAAACTAACCTGTTGCGATAGCTCAAGTGGTTAGAGTAGCGGCCCAAGGTCGTGGGTTCAATCCCGCTCGTGACACTAACTTTTTCATTTCAATCAAGACCTTACATTGAAAATACTGTAAGAAGTATTTTTACACCTTGGATCCGCTGCCTAATATAGGTTTACGGATTATCCATAATTTTCTCATTTGTTTGATCAAAACAAAAATAAGTTTTGGATTGTATTTTTTTATTCTCGCTTTTATATTTTTAGTCACTCAAAACCGAGATTTCAACCTTCACCGAGATCGTCACATCTCAGAGTGCCTTTTCGTTTTACGTGACCGTAAACCCGCAATTTTTAAAGCATTCAATAGTCGACCATTATTTTATTTACTTTTGGTCAAGCCCGTTGGCGCTTCTGTATTACTTATTTCCAATCTGCTTTATGACCCTTGTGTCATTACACCCTATTTTTTCCCGCCTTGCCTTCGCTCCGACCTCTAATATTACAAACATCATTCAAAGTTATATAGTCCACGGAACCAAGCTTTTCTTCCTTTTTTCCTTGTGCTTATTGAATTCAACCTTAACAGTTTTCAGACGGGAAATTACTTTAACCTAAAGTGTAAAACCAAAAGTCTCAATATACCACGTATCTTCTATTTTAATTTCGTAAATATTTTCTTCCAAATTCAAAAAGGAAAAAATTGAAATTCGCATTCGTGCTCAAGCACAACTCACGTGTAGTGTGGTTGAAAAACGAAACCTTTTAATTATATCGGACAAAAGTAGTATCCATGTGTCAACTGCGTATGACCTCTTTGACAAGTGAGCATGATTTCTTTTTTATGAGGGCCACGTTACTCTTGATAATTCGATCCTGTGATTGTCTCCTATCACTCATCCCATAGGGTAACCTTAAGTAGGAACTAGGCAAGCCCCTACCATCAGCTCCGGTGCCTAGGGATAACCAATGATCCAGGCAAAATTTCTCCTTGCCCTCCTTACCCCCTTTCCTTTTCCTTCCCCTCCCCCCGCATTAGCAGAGGCTTCCTGGGTTACTGAACCAGCACCCCTCAGGCAACGCGTGAATCGGTAGGGGGTTCGTATGAATCTCCGGGTGGGCGATCAGTCCCACCATAAAAATAATACTGAACCATGGGAGTAGAGTATCCAAGCTAATTGAGGTTGGTCTCGTGGTGGTCGTGGTTTGAAAACTAATTGTTCCTTAGCTGGAGGGTACCGGCCAACCGAAGACGGGCTAGAGTGCCTTTTCTATCTCTTCTGAGGTGGTGAAAGACACGGCTGAAAAGCTGTGCCAGAAACCACCTTTTTCAAGGCAGATGTACGGATGCCTTTTCAGGGCACTCCTAAACTTGGTTATCATTGCACCACCTCGCTAGCTAAAAGATGTGACAAATCCATGCATGTAAAATCTTCCTGGTGTTTTTGAGAACTCTAGGCGCCTGAGAAGTCCCCTTGGGGAAAAGTCCGGACGTTAAAAATCCTAATGGGTCTCAACTCCATGAGTAAAGATGGGAACATCTGTCTCGTATCACTGATTTTTATTGTTTTTTCCCCACGAATAGCATGTAATCTCGGTAAAAATTGGCAGCAACTGGGTAAAGGATCCGAAAAATAATGGAAATCTAAGATTTCATAGTCAATTTTATTTATTTAGTTGACTATCTGTATTCAGATAAGAAGTGGATGATGTAGGCCGTGGAGAAGAAACTGAAAAGTATCTGATAAATTCATCTACCGCGGGCTGTTTTTGATCAATTTCGATTAGTTTATAATATCTTTCCTCAAACTATTTTTTCGATTTATTTACAATAGATATGTTTCCAAATTGAACTGTAATAAATGGCATTTGACGAAAATTAACATTAGTTAAGTTTTGTAGAACATAAAACGAGTACTTCGTTTCCTTTAACATCAGATGCAATGATAAACATCACATTTTATCGTCATGTACGAAAAAATGAAGTCAAACGAAAAACTCCCAAGACAAATCAATAAACGGTTTAAAAAGAGGGTCGTTAAAAATTGATTTCCAAATTGGCTGATTTACCCATCTTAGGATGATTTCCTTGTTGGTAAACGTCAACATTTAGCCCGAAAAGAGCATGGTTTATTTTGTCCGAGATAACAACCCATAACAAGACTAAATTGTCGTTTTACATAGACCTTTCATGAGTCGGTTTACCTATAGATTCTCTCTATCGGGAATGGGCAATCATGCAATTATAGGACTCTTTGCCGTTGAGAGGAGGGCCTCTATGTTGTCGAACTCCACCCCCGCTGCATTTGTTGCACGAAAGAGGCCCTTGATGTAACGGACTTCGTCGAATTTCTCCGAACCTTCCATTAATACTTACACGGCAATATTAAAAATTACGCTGGCGGGTGGCACAGCGATCGTAATTCCACTTATTTCGCCGTTTCATTTGGGGTGATTGCCGTGTTTAAAGATTCAGCCGAAATTGCCCCACCGCATGGAACACAGCTCGATCCTCTCCGTTATGATTTGTTGTAAAACCGGCAGGCTAAGTGAATAAAAAACAGTACATTATTAGAACAACAACTAAAAAACACAACATTTAGTCACGATACCGCCTCTTAAACGTAGTAATTCATAGAAAATACTATAAAATATGAGGGCTACCGGGACGCGATAGTGTATCATTACAACAAAGCTGGTACAGACATTTAATATTAGTAATCCCGACCTGGAAATTAAATTATGAATCAGATAGCGTGATCGTTAATCTTATATTTTACCACTATTAATCAACTTGCACGTCACGGTTTTTATCAAATAAATCGATATGTTAACCTAAAAGTAGCCCTTTGGTTACTGCTTTGTCATTGATCTCGAACAGATTTAATTAACTTACTGCCTGTTTATCTATTCCCGTTTGTTTATCAGGCTATTAAGGACAATCAAATACAACGCCAATTGTGGCCCTGGCGGTGTTGTTAAACGTTCCATCTTCTAATCCAAGGAGAAACCAGCGCAGCGTCTCACCGGCTCATAAATGACATTGCTTCCCGTATACTCGGTCGTCCTAAAAAGGACAACGAGGATCTTTAACGTCCGCACCTAGCCTATTCGGTCTTATCGGACGTTTTGATTCTCAAGATGAGAGCTGACGCACCTCCGCATACGACAGAAGGGTGTTACTGCCGCAGCGTTGGTGTAGAGGTAGCTCAGCCCCGAAGGGCCAAGACAACCTCGCTCCCCGTTTGCTCATTCCGAACAGTCGGATCTGCATTGTACATCATGCTACCCAACGTGGCTGACATGAATCAACCTGGTCTACACCCACTACCTACATAGAGAAGGCGACTCTTTCTCCCAGAGTATTGGGGCTCCT